ATTCTACGTACGTTCGTTTACACCCACTAAAAAGAGCATTTCCCTATCTGTAATAATGCGATAGACAGAGATAGGAAATAAATCGCGTTCAGTGTAACTCAGTCTATGACTGTTATAGATCCTATCGATGTGGAAAGAGAGTGGTACATCATTTAACATAAGCAAATAATATTGAACCGTTATAAAAATCATTTTAAGTTTTATACACTTTACGGTAATAGCGTTTCTATATTATGTATGAATCACTCTCTATAATTTCGACCGCGGAGTATAGGTCCCCTCAGAAGTGTGTCTTTACTTGGGCCGAAATTGTCCCTGCGTAGTGGTTGGAAAAGGTTTGGTGGTTCCCATTGGAAAGTTGAGCGAAAAATTGAAACCCGGGACTCGAGACCTGGAATACAACGACACCCTTAAAATAAAATAAAAATACGAGAGCTAATAATAAAATATATACCCAAAAAAGAGAGATATATCAGTTGTGGGTACCAGAATAAACAAGATACTGTGATTTTAAGGTATATTGAAATAAGTTACAGAAGTAGTTATCGCCGGAAGAAATTAATGCACAATAATTTTCACCCCTGTTTCTTTTATTTACGAAAAAATGTTTGTTCCAGTTTTAATAATTTCGAAGTAATAAATAGAAAAACAATTGAATGTTACATATTAGACGCGCTGTTAAAGAAAGTGGAAACATTTTTGTCTTGTTGAAATATTCTGTGCAATTAAGTTTTCATTCAAGGCCAATCACTTGCATTTAAAGGATTCGACACCTAATAAATTTTCAAGTTGATGCAACCAAGGTGAAGCACAAGGAATACGCGGAACACACAGTAGAATACAATTAAGTGTATCCAGCATATATTATTAAACAATAAAACGAATAATGTGGAATGACGCAGTATCATTTCTTATTTACAGAAAACGGCATTGAACCTTATGTCATATACATAAAATATTCTACGTTGTGGATTTGGTCCTATATTAATTAGTTTTAACAAAAAGAAAAAAGCGATTATTTCATTATTTGAAAATAAGGGAATTTACTTTGGCTACAATTTTAGAACAATTTATTTTAATTTTTTCTTTCATATCTATACTTTTTTCAATTTTATTTTGAGGTTGAGGTTTATTGATTGTAAAAGATAAAAACACCCTTAACATTAGAAAGTTTCGTAGAATATGAAAAACTCTGAAATCTAATGTATTTTTGTAGATTTCCAGTCATGTGAAAAAAAGCAAAATTTTGCATTTTTTAAATAAAAAAAGTGATTACTTTATCGTTCGAAGTAACAATAATTTTTAATAGAAGAAATTATACTGCAACTTCTCACAAATGTATTTTAATATTCCTCTTTCGAATTTATATCCTAAGTATGTATTTATCACTTTTAATTTTTGTATATGGGGCATTCCATGCCAAATCACTGAGGTCGTTTAATTTTCTTGATTTTTTGGAATTATTTAGTACCCATTTAGAGCAGCTTTCATGAATTTTTTCAAATATTTATTTCAACCCGTCAAGAAGTTATGAGCATTTGTAACTTGCCAAAAGGACAATTATTTTTCATTTTGTTCGCTTTGAGATGTAGTTTTATAAAAATAACACAGTTTTAGTTTTCGAGTTTTTTAAAATTTTTAAACCAAAAAATTGCTTTTTGAAACACTGGTATTTTGTTCTTTGAAAAATTCTCAAAAATATCGTATTTCAATATGCAAATCTATGAGATAGGTTCTAGCGTGTTATCTTTTTTTATTCTATTGATCACTTACCGCGTGCATGCATGTAGAAATTCCAAGAGAATACATTCAAAATATGAATGTGCTAATTAATCAAACAGATAAGATTATTTAATGTATTAAATAAAACAAATTCACTTGGAACATTTTATCACCGCTGGAAGCTTAAGTGTTATTATAATATGTGTTAAATCACTTGATACCACTTATGAAGTATTTTTTATTGAAACTTATAATTGTTCAGGAATGTATCTACACTCACCTGCATAATTCGTGTATTGGGTTATTACAATTTTTACGAAATTCACTGTCATTAAAGAAACTAGATATATATTGGGTTGAGGAATAAGTAACTCCGTCTTTTTTAAAATTTAAGATATTTTATTTTTAGCTCTACAATAATTTATAGGCTAATCAGTGATCCATCGTTATTTATGACCTCCTCACAACGGTCTACATGTTTATCGATGCCTCCTCTGTAGAAATCCTCCAGTTTTGACTAGAAAAATTCATTAAACCAAGCTCTTAACTCATTGTCGTTGTTAAAGGAAACACCGCAGTTTGACAAAAAGTGGAAGAGGTGAAAATCAGAAGGTCGGGAGAGTAATCCGGGTGGGGTAGAAATTTCCAATGCTTTATCTAATGGTGAACAAATCCAAAATGGCATCCATAAGATAATCAAAAATTGTCTATGAAGATATAAGGATCTAGGAGGCCATATCGACTTATAGGTACCGATTTCCATTACTCTACTTTCAATAATAAAAAAGCATATTTCAAGAACGGCGCAACTTATTCAAATTTCTTTTCATAATCCAAAATAGCATGAAAATATGCAACTTTCTTGTAATTTAACTAACCCTGTAAATCTTCTAGTTACGGCGATCCTAATAGTGTACCTACAGCTTAAAAGTGACCACCCTGTATATCACTGTAATCAGCGAAAGGAGATGATTCTAATAAGCGACAAAGTTTGGTTTTAATATTCCTTTGATGTACCAACAAAATTTCTTACAACTTGGATCGTTACCATTTTTTTTTCTAGACAAAAATGAGGAAAGATAAAGTGGGTAGAATATTATGTCACAGGAGCGTCCTAATGATACCTGGTAAATGCTGAGTAGGCCACGTAGATGGGTAGATTAAGACCAAATGAAAATATCAGTAAATTTTATTTTTCATTTTATTTTATTTTATTTAATACACTGTTCAGGTACTACCCAATTATAGAACAGGAATTTTACAGACAATAATAAAAGAAGTACATTAATTACAAACAGAATTAAAAAGAACAAAAACATACAGACCATCATAAAAAAAGAAGAAAATAAATAAAATCTATACACTAAATAATTCACATAAATGAAGATTAAAATTACATATTTGAAAATACCAAACATTAAAAATAAAGTATTTTTAAGTCATTAAGGCTGCAGTTAAAAATATCTACAGAATTTTTATTACAATTGTTGTAGATTTCATAAAGTGGTGGATGTTTGAGTACAGTAGTACGAGGAGTTGGTAAATAAAATGTTCCGTTTTCTCTAGAGCTAAGTCTAGGTATAGAAAATGATAATTTGGTTATAAATTCCTGGTAATCAGCCAAATTACGTAATATTTTAAAAAGAAAGACATGCGAGAAGTATTTCCGTCTGGTTTCAGGGCTAATAAAGGAATGTCTACTTAAAAGGTTCTCATGCGGATATCCGATATGAGGATAATAGCCATCAGATCTAAAATTTAAAAATTTAAAAAATCGATGCTGAATCGATTCCAGTTTATTAATGTGGACACCACTGTGCGGAGACCATACGGGAGAGACATATTCAAGTTTCGATCTAACGTAACTAAAGTAAAGAAGCTTTATGACACCTAAGCTTGAAAAATCATGACAATTGCAAACTATAAATCGTAAATGTCATTATAACAATGTTATATCAATCACATAAAACAATGAAACAAATTTAAATATAATATATTAGACACGGAAATTTAAGATCCAAATTATCTGGTTTTTATAATAAATCACAATTCTCAATTACTTCATATTCGTGTATTCTATTGTTATTGTTCTAAATATACAGTTTCCGGACCTACAAGTGGATTGGCAAATCTGAAATAACTTGTGATCCGTTTTAAACGGAAATACCCTTGTAAAGTAGGTGCAAAAAGATAAAGTTACAAAATTTTATTATGTTACACGACATGTAAATTTTTGTCAGTCATTACCGATACCAAATTTGACAAAAACTGGTTAGATATATTTCATTTAAAATCTACTTACACTACTAGATTCTGTGCCCCTTCAATTGGGTTTGTATCAAGTTTCGTGAAAAAATATTAATTACTAATAATTGTAAAATAGATATAAAATGGTTTTTATTATTTTGATCCCCCTAGGTGGAGTCAGCAATCTATGGTATAAGTAACAGGTACATTTTCACTAGGTATTTGTTATTTTTAATATTCCAATTCAAATTTAACATTTTTATATTTTAGTGATGAACTATTTATATAATTACAATTACGAATAACAAAATATTAATCATAAACCATGAAAACATACACAAAAAGTACACCTACAATATAAAATTTTTGACATTTTTCTCAAACTCCGTTTCATTTTAGACATTTGTTACATCGTTTCTGAATATTTTTCATAATAATTCATCTGTCTCTTAATTCTTCTCTGTTAGTTGGACATACTTTTTATTATTTTGGTTTAAATACGATATACACAAGAAGTCCCACATTAAAAAAAAGTTAGGAACATTTTTTTAATTAATTTATTTTTTATATGAATCCAAGTGGCAAACTTTTTACTAATTTTGGTAGAAACCCAATTAGGATTTGTAAAATACAGTCACGTGGTCAGAATTTAAATAAAAGAACGTTTTTTTGTCCAGTTTGACAACGACAATAGTTATTTTTGTATCCAGAACGCAAAATGGTACTTTCGCGTTCAAGATTGGAAGTTATTTTGCCGAGTTATGCAAGGCGAAATATCCACTCGAGAACGCAAAAGTATTTTGCGTTCGAGATGCAAACAATATTTTTTTGAAAACTGCAATAAATTTAGGCAATTGTGTACAACAATTTAATTTATATTTGAAATCGTTTGAACCGTGTTTAAAACAAGACAGTTTAGGCACGGCGACTATCATAACGATAGCAACCTAATAAACAATAAAAATTAGTTGTTTGAAAAAGTAGAGTCAGAATTATATATTGCAATTCATATTCTAAGATTTTAATTCAAAATGAGCTCGAACACGAGCATTTTTACCAGGGGAGGTATTGGAAGCGGCACAAAGCGCTGTTTCACAATTAATTCCCAAAAAATCGTCTAGACAGTACGAGATTGCCTACAACGAATTCAAAGGGTGGTGTAGTTCGAAGAAAATTCAAAAAATGTTCGGAGCTGTATTACTGGCATATTTCGAATATATAATTAATAAAATTAAACCTTCGACGTTATGGTCAGTATACATGTTAAAAGTACACTGAATGCCAAAAAAACAATGTAAATATCAGAAAATTTTCCAAACTAATAGCATATTTGAAGAGCAAATCAGTTGGATACTGTCCGAAAAAAATTCAGATTTCTAACGAAATAATATAGATTTCTGCTAGAAAAGTTAATTCAAATTAATATAAATCGATCGATATAAACTAATTTTGGACAACTTTTCACGTCATTTTAATAATGTAATAGTATTTAAAGTAAAGTGGAGCTTTACGAAGAGAAGAGAAGAGCTACTAAAGATAATGATTGATATAGAAGACAAAGCTTCAATTCATTATTATAAGAATTCCCGATTCCAAAACTCATACTCCGAGATGTTTTGCGATTTCATGTCCAGACCAAATAAAGATATACCGCAAATACTGTGCTTTACGTCCGGCAGTTACTACAAATCGAAGATTTTTTGTGAAGTATGTCAGTGAAAAATGTGGTAACCAAGTGGTTGGCGTCAACAAAATAAGGAATGTGCCAAAAGAAATACTAATTTATCTCAATTTGCTTCATCCGGAAACTTATACAGAGTACTTAGTTTTGTTTGTAGGCTTCCGTGGCTGTTGTTAATGGTTGAATGATTTCCGAGCTTGTTGTCACGTTGTCGGTTTATAACACTTGACGTTTCGAGAGACATATCGCTCTCTTCTTCAGAAGTTACTCTGAAACTGGTTACTTTAAACTCGAGTTGATGTGCATTCCTATTTGTCCTGTGTAGACCTTTCCGCAAGAGCAAGCAATACTGTACACACCGGGGCCCAGGAGCTAGTCGTTGTTGCAGGTCTTTGGAAACGCTTCTGCCACCTTCCTTACAGTACTGAATACTATGTTGATATTCCTTTTCTTCAAAAGACGTCCGATTTTATCTGTGAAGTATGCATAAAATCGACCTTCTTTGCATTCCGGGACCAATTCTACGAACAGACGGAGGGAGCAGCAGTCCTGGCCAATATATACATGGAAGCCTTTGAGAAGAAAGCCCTGGAATCCACAACGTTGAAGCCTAAATGCTGGTTCCGATGTGTTGACGACACCTTCATCATCTGGCCCCACGAACGCAACACCGTAGCGGATTTCCTGGATCACATCAATGGGATACATCCAGATATCCAGTTTACCATGGCAGTAGAGAAAAACGCTGCTCTTCCCTTCTTGGATGTTTTGGTGGAGAGGAAACCAGATGGCACTTTAGGACATCGAGTATATAGGAAGCCAACTCACACAGACAGGTATCTGAATGCACAATCACACCACCACCCAGCCCAAAAACAGGGGATCATAAATACCTTCATTCATAGAGCGCGGATCATCAGCGAGCCAAGACACTTGGCCGAAGAACTAGAGCACCTACGCACGGCCTTGAGAGGGAATGGCTACAAGGCGAGAAATATAGAATGAGCTATCAGGAGGAGACATACACCCATTGAGAAACAGGAGTACTTAGCGACGACGTATCTACCTTACGTGAAAGCTTGTACAGATAAAATCGCGTGTGTTTTGAAGAAGAGGAATATCAATACAGTATTCAGTACTGTAAGGAAGGTGGCGGCAGCGTTTCCAAAGACCTGCAGCAACGACCAGCTCCTGTGCCCCGGTGTGTACAATATTGCTTGCTCTTGCGGAAAGGTCTACATAGGACAAACGGGAAGGCACATCAACACGAGGTTAAAGGAACACAAAAGTCACCTCAAAAATAACAACTGGGAAAAATCGGCAATAGCACAGCATAGGGCGGACATAGGACACACAGTGGATCTGAGTGAAGCCAACATGGTGGTGAGAGAGATAAGATTTTGGCCCCGACTATACAGAGAAGCTTTAGAAATTTACAGAAATCCGAACAACTTCAACAGGGATAGTGGCGTGGATCTGTCAGGTATATGGAAGAGAGTCATACGTGAAAGCAACCCACTGGAACGTCAACAACGCGTACGAGGTCACCCACCGGAACATCATGGACCAGTTCTACCGCCACTCTGTTAGCCGACGCAGGGGCCGATATTACTACCATTAAACGACATGGGGGTGGCGTTCTAATACGGTAGCGGAGACAAATATAAAAGATTATATAGGAAATAAAATTTCAGTCGCAAATAAATTGTTACCATCTTCAGCAGTGCCTATTTGCCAATAATACAACGTGCGCAGTAAACTTAAAACAATTACAGCAGCAGCCTCATTGAACACCCAGGACTAAAAGCTACGATGACTGGCAGCACTGGATCTGGCATAAATTTAACTCACTGTAATATCAGCACTTTCAATTTACATGTAGTACAAAATAAATTGTAATCGTCCTGTTTATAATAGTTGCAGTTTGTACTGAAGTGTTATTTTACTTAAAATGTATATTGTTTAATTAATAAAATCATAAATAAGTTTCGAGAAAATGACAAACTATTTTGACATTTGATTTATGTTCTAGAACGAAAAAGACTTTGGTGTTCTAGAGCATAAAAGTATCTTGCAGCTAGGTGACAAAAAGTACTCACTTTGTCAACTGAAAATTTAACAAAAATGTCGACTTTTGATGACATTTTTCGAAAAAAATAATAAGTGGCGTAAAATAACTAAATGTACCTAATATGACACAATAGACTTTTTTAAACTAAGTATCCTTATTAAAAAGAACGTTTTTTTTTAATATATTGATATTTTCAGATTGTTAACACATTGTTCACATGTTCACATTATTGTTCACAATATTCATAATGCTATTTATTATTAGTATATGCTGCAATTCCTTTTCCAATGATTGTCACTCTTCTTCTTCCCTATATGATGGCATAACATCCGAAAGTTGTAGGAAAAAAAATAAAACAATTTTGTACTGAATTAAAATGGATTCTAATTTACCTCGTTACACTTTTCTTCTGCATTTTATATGTATTAATTTTATTATTTTTATTAATACTATTCTACAAATATTATGTTCAGAAGTGAAAAAAAAAAGAAAAAAATTTTCACTTAACATTTACGCCTTATAGTTGCTGTGCGTAAACGAATGCGGCGTACTTGAAGGGTAGTTTTCTTGAATGAAAAAATTATATAGATCATGTTACCTTGATGCAATTTTGCTTCCTTAGAAAGTTACGAATTTTTTAACTGAAATGCTGAACGAGAGTTGCTCTTGTTACTGAAGATGCCAGCCCCAGTACCCTGCCACTATGAATAAAAAGAAAATTATGAACAACCAGGATGAAATGCGGGAAGACTTGAAAGAGAAGATTAAAAATCTAGAATGAAATGAAGAACAAATCACACAAAAATTAAGATGCTCAAATGAATACCATTCCTAAATTAAAGGCAGAAATTTGGAGAGTTATCAACGAAAATCAGCCGCACGTTTGCGAAAGCGTGATACAGAATTTTCGTAACTGATTGTGTAATTAGCAAATTTTCAAAATTTGTAAGTATCTTGCATCCTGAAATGAATCTTAAATTGTTGATCATCTATCTATTTATAGTAAGGTATTGAATAGGTAAGAAGTGAGAAATAAATCTCGTCGGGGATTCCATTCTGAAGGTTAACCCCTCAACGTCGCAATATTTTTGCTTGTATGCAAAACATTTTACATATAATTATTGGGGCGTTTTCATATCATTGTTCCCATTGTTCTTAATGATAGATTAAAATATTAGAGAAAAATTGTCCAAATGCAGTACGTGTAATAAGTAGCCTTCGCAAAAATAAAAAAGTAGTATATTTACCCGACTTACCTTTTAAGGAACAATTGAAAGGTCGACTGTGTCATTACACTGAAGTACGTATACATTAAACATCTTTAAATAATAATGGTTATATAATTGTGTCAGCTTTTTACTGAGGTCTTCCGTAAATTATTAAGGTGTGGCCTAAAATACTGGACTTTAATAATATTTCAAAATTAGGAATTTTAAATCGTGTTAAAGTTATAAATATGTAATAACGTTATTGCAAGACGAGTTGCCATTTACTTTTATTCAAAATACCAGATTATATATATTTGGTGTCCCAAAAAAAAGCGCAGGAGTTCATATGAGGAAAAAGTATTTTATTAATTAAAAAGTTGGTTTAGTTTTTACATGTTTTTAAAGGGTAGACTTTGCCGTTAAATATGAAAGAGAATATAGGACAGATGTCATCAGCGACTCATTTTCATACTCGACTTCTTTCAAGAAACTCTGTATCACGCGTTTGCATACCTGTGGCTGAATTTCGTTGATAACTCTCTGCATGTCTGCGTTTATCTCAGGAATGGTATTCATTCGAGCAGAATCCTTGGACTTTACGAATCCCCACAGGAAAACGGCGCATGGCGTAAGATCACATGATCTTGGTGGCCAAGTCATTTCACTGTTACATAAGGTCGTCCATTAAATTTCTGCCGTAACAAGTTTCACGTCCGTATGGCAGGTTACATGAGCCTACTGGAACCAACGAATTGTAACCACTAGAAGGAGCTTTGGATGTATTTGTTTGCGAATGTACATAAATAAATCAGATATTCAGGAGACACAAATTTCTATTGGTCGAATTAATATTCCCGCCTACGTCCGCATTTCGATGATTGTCGATGACATATGTCAAAGGAAAAGTGTGTAGCCGCTATTAACGTATTTGCGTTTTGCGTGTTTAGTGTGGCATTTTCCTCTTATTGTTGTATAGTTTTTATGTATGGACATTTATTTAGTGCTAAGATATGGTTAGAAAGTGTGTTATTTGTAAAGTTTTATTTTGACAGGTAAGTAAACAAGCAACATGGGCGGCGTTTGAGGGATTACATAAGGGGGTTTTACATTTAGGGCCAAATTCAGAAACTTCCCTAAATCTATACTAACCTTTCACTCATCTCAAACTTATGCTTCACTCAACTTAGGGTGCCCTCATCTCAATATCAGTTCTGGTATTCAGAAATGTGTATAAATGAGTGACTAACTTGAGTGTGCATCAAACCACAAACTACTAGATAAGCGAACAGTTTGCTACTCAAATATTACCAAAAATATATCATCAGTGGAAACCTAATGTCACAGTATATCTTTATTTTGAATTTGAATAATTGACGTTGAAAATATATACAAAATAAGTTACATTTAAATAATAAATAATGAAAATCATAAGATCTAATTAATTATCCAGGTAAAAACGATTCTCATATATCCCAAGTAACAATTAGTTAGTAGTTAGTAATATTTAGTTCATTTTCACTACTATATACTTCATATAGATTAGAATAAGTGGCAAGCAATGATTTATGAGGTATGTATCATTTCTAAAAAATAATTATAATTTATATAATGTTCACATATAGAATATCCTTTATTGAATACTTCTTAATTATTTGTAACTTTTACTGCTAGAATATTATGAAACCATAAAATTAATAAATTAGGAACATAAGCACACGTCAGACACCACTAATATGTCACTAACTTAGCACTCATTTGTGAGGGCGATTTGAGTACGATTTAAGTGACTCGTTCAATTAGAATTGTTTATGAATACGATTAGGGTGAGTTTAGTATGAGATAAGTGTGAGTGGAACTTTAATGAGATTTATGAATTTGGACCTTAGTACTTAATTAGCAGTGATAAAATACTGACTAAATCATTATTTAAATTATTAAAAAGATATATTTTTTAATTGTTCAACTTATTTTTTCCTGTTTCAGTAATATTATAAGTATGAGTAATACCTATATTTTTTAGATTTCCTAAGAATCTGGAACGGAGAAACTTGTGGAAACTCTCCCTAGGTGATGTCAATATTACCGACAACATTTTTGTTTGTTCTGATCATTTTGAATGAATGATTTTCTGACAAAGCCATCAGGTATAAAGTACTTGCGAGAGACAGCTATTCCAATAATAGCTTCTACTTATAGCAGGTAAAATAACTTTTATATTGATTAAAATATACAAGTGAAAAGCCTTTACCTAGTACCTCTTTACCTCTTTAATTTTTATAGATCAGACAGTTCTAATAAGGAAAATATTTCTCTAAATGATGTTCCTACGGAACAGTCATTGCACTTGCCGCAACAAAAACCAGAAAGTATATCCACATGTTCATCGTCATCGACACTGAGTGCTCAATCAGGCTTGTTATCTACTATAAATAAGGCTACATATTTTTCTGAAATATATTTGAAATTTGGTGACACATCACCAAAACATTGATAAACTTTAACTGCATCAGAAATAGAAATGGATTCACCCAATCGTAATAAAATTATAAACTTGAAGTAAGTTATAAAAATATAATTAACAAATTATATATCCTTTGTATAGTATCTACAACTAATACCCTATAATTTTGCTATCTGCTTACCTATCTAACATTTTTTTTATTCAGTACATTTTACAAAATACCAAGAAAATTCTACCTTGTTACCTATTTATATATTACCATTTTATTTTATATAAACACTACCGTAAGTGTTTATATAAAATACATCTGGAATAGATAATTCATCATTTTTAGGAAAAGCCCTTATCCACGATATTTTGGAGAATGCCATACTTCTGACATGGATAGTCCAAGAAGAGCAAGAAAAAATTGGAAAAAACAATAAAGATCCGAAGTCTGCAGCAGGCAAAGAGTCGTCTAAAAGCCAGAATTTGTAGCCTTAATTGTCTTCTGAAATTTTTGACTTAACAGGAACTGCTCAATGTATCATTCATGTTAAGTTGAAAAATACTTATTCTTTCTGTGTCTGTAAACAATTGTCTGTATTTTTAGGAATCAGCACCTGGAATGTTAGGTGAAATCTGTCAAAGATCAAGAAAATGACAATCTCGTAAAAAGTATTCACCTGAACTTAGGTCGTTTGCCTTAACGTTAAACTTTTATTCAACAGATGCTTATAATTATGCAAGAAGTTTTAACATGGCTTTGCGACATATAAAAACAATTTTTAAGTGGTACAGATCTATAGATGGAACACCTGGATTTACAAATGAAGCATTGGCTGCTATTAAAATGAAAGTAAGAGAAACAAACAGTGAAATTTTGGGCAATTTTGTATTTGACGAAACGTCTATAATGCAAAGTGTTGAGTGGAATGGAAAACGATTCACTGGATATGTTGATGTCGGCATTGAAGTATATGGGGATAAAATTCCAGAAGCTACGGAAGCCCTTGTTTTTATGGTTGTAGCTATAAATAGTCATTGGAAAATACCTGTTAGGTATTCTTGACAAACGGTTTAAATGATGGAGAAAAAGCTAATTTGATAGAAAAATGTTTAGAATTTTTAAGTGAATTAGGTATCAAAATAGTTTCTGTTACTTTTGATGGTGCTCCTTCAAATATCAAATTACGGCTTTACAAATGTTAATGTTAATATTAATAAGTAGGTAGATTGTAAGTTTGTAGCATTATAGGTTATTTGTTGACTTATTACTGTTTCAAATTGGTTTTCTAATAAAAACTAGAAAAATAGACCAAACATTTGTCTTTTTATGATTTCTATAAGTCACTAGTGGGGTTTATAAGTCATAACTTACTAGTAACTTATGACTTATAACTCACTAGTGACTTATAGGCCCCATTATTCCTTTAAAACCAAAGAAATTATAGTATTATATACAAGTGTTGGATAAAAGCATTTAATTAATCAGTACTGATCAAAACAATTTGAGTATAGTAAAAACAGTTTATTAATTTTACTTCAATTTTTACCGTCTCATTATATCAGCAATATATAAAAATTATTTATAAAATGAGTAATCCTTTCAAATGTGTATTGGTATTTTGTAAATTTTAATATTTTGCCTTTTTTGACAGTACGCCACTGCCGTTGTGTCTCATTGTTTACATTTGACACTGTCTATCTTTATTTAATAGGTAGTTATCTGTTTAGATGTTTGCTACAGTTAAAACACATGTTAGAATTCGTTGACTGGAACTACGTCAAACAAATCCATGCCACAAAAAGTTCAATAGCATATCTCGATATCGTTCTCCATTGAAAGTCATTGCGTTTCCAGCCAAAATCCAGCCGCATTAAAAAAAATTACCCCACCAATGTAAAATTCACACCACACTGTCACTCTTTGGGTATACAGTGGTCGTTATTGAATGACCCGAAGATTCAAATCCGACAGTTTTGCTTGTACACATACCCACTAAGATGTAAATCAGCCTCGTCGCTAAAGATAATTTTCTTAGCAAAATCACTGTCCACTTGTGGATTCTCCAACACCCATTCAACGAATGTCCAGCACATTAAATGGTCGTCTGGTTTCAATTCCTGGGTTAGCAGAATCTTGAATGGATACAGACGCAGATCTTTTGTTAGAATCCGCCGCATTGTGCTTTTTGAAATGTTTAATTGCAATGACGGCGCACTGAAGTTATAATTCAATTAAATGGGCCTTTAAATCGCAATTTGGTCAACTTACCTGATTTTTTTATATAAGTTAGTTTGAGGTATATACTAACAATAAGTGACAGTAATTTTTTTCAAGCTCATCAAAGATAAAACAAAGGGGTTTTCAAGATAACTGAAAAGAGTTAGGGTTGCTAGAAGTTCCGGGATGGTTACAGAAATTTAAAAAAAATCATAAGCAGAGAAATGAATGAATATTTTTTCAATCTACTCTAAAAAATGTATAAACTTTCATTTTAGAGAAATAGATATGTTTTTTAATTTTTAATAAAAAAGTTATAACAATTTCAATTTTTTAATAGTTGATTTTTATGATTTAACACTAAAACAATTTGTTTCTATGCCATTCGATTGATTATTTAAAATAATGAAAAGTTGCTTTGAAATTTTGTTTTACGACAAAGACAAAAAATCATGTTCGCTTTGGGAAATTGTTACTTTTAGAACACCCTTTAGAATTTCAGAATAAACTACTATGATTAACTTTTCCGCATTTAAAACAAAAAAATAATGCAAAACTCTTTATACATTTTACTTCAACTGTTTTGTATAAACAAAGAAAAGTATGTACTTTATTTGTATTTATCAGTACTTGAAGTACTTGAAACTTATTAACATAGAGTTAGCATTAATACTTGCCTATTTAAGAAAAAATCATTCATACCGTAAAAATGTATTCTCTGCAGAATTCTTCCTTTTATAAGTTGTTTAGTATTAGTTTTTGTTTAGTCTGTTTATGATTCATTAAACCAAAATTGTTCCAGTGAATTATTTTGAATGCCAGATAGTTAGCAAAAACATTTAAATTGATCTTATGCAAATAAACAATAATCATTACAAAATATTGTGCAGAGTTGAAAAGTTAACAAGACAATTAATTGTTATTTAGGGTACTATTTTTCAAAAAACAGGAACTGAAGAAATTAGAAGATTTCTCCACTTTACACACTTCTGCATTGCAGTTTTCAACATGAATGTTCAAAAGACAATTTATACAGTGTGTCCCTGGATTGGTTTAACTACTCTTGTAAAAAAAAAAATTCTACAAGAAGTAATTCTTTATATAAATTTTTGCTTGTCTTGAAACTTCGATAACCAGTTTCAGAAAACTAAATATTTATATGGGGCGTTCACAAAATTGAAAAAAACAAAATTGCCTGAAGAGTAAAACGACCTTATTTTAAAGGATCTATAAAATAATATTAATGAAAGTTATTTCTAATACTAAGGAAAGCTCAAATATCGAATATCAACAAATTCGGTTGAACTTTATAAAATTCATTTTCTTTTCTCCCAAAATGAGACAAATCTTATGCGCGAAATTTGTTTCATAACTTTAAAACATAAAATATTGACCATAAGATTATCGCTATTATTTCTGAATAAAAAATCAAGTGGGCAGTTGTCAGTATTGTCTAGATGACATCCCTGTCAATTTATGCTATTGTTGTGTTACTAAGCTCACGAAAGATGCTTACCTTGCAGCAGCGTATTTATTGAATTAAGTGTTATGGCATTGGAGAAGTGTCTTATAAATGTGCAATAGAAATGTTTAACAGAAAATTTCCTGCAGTACGTGTTTCTGTTACGATTTGGTGCGTAAGTTTGATGAGACTAGTGATGTGAAGAATGTAAAAAAGCCCAAAAAGTAGTACAATGAAGATGATGCTGCAACAGTTTTAGTGTTCGAATCAGTATGTAATATATCAAAACTTCCTTTAAGAGCAAGAACCGAAGAGTTGGGTGGTATATCTAAAAGCCATGTACACAGTATTCTATCCGGTAATAAATTTATCGCATTTAAACCGTCATTTATCCATAAGTTACAAGAAGGAGATGATTTGTTTCATCTTGAGTTTTCACAACTAATGGGTGAAAGAAATAATGAGAAACCGTAATTTTCATAGAAAAATTATACAATTTCTTCTCAAAACTGTCGCTACTGGGCAAAACATAACCCGCATTTTAAGATAACCACAAACAGCCAGAAATTTAAAAAAGTTAATCTTTGGTACGCGCCATATCTTACAATCAAGGAGCAATATGATATTCCAACATCATGGTTGTACATCACACAGTACAATCCTTGTTAGAAATTGGCTTGATTAACACTTTCCCAGCAAATGGATAGGTCGCTATGGGTCCATATACTGGCCAGCTCGATCTCCAGACCTTACAGCAATGGATTATTTTTTGTGAGGATACCTTTAGCAAAAAGTTTATGCCATCGATATGCAAGATGATATTGACATTTTAAAAAACCTTATTCACAATGTTTACGACGAATTTGGCGAACGAATGGAAAAATGTGTTAATGCTGGAGGACTTCACATTGAACGATATTGTGATAAGTAAGCAGTATTTTTCTAGAATTGCCGTTATTATTATAAAATGTTCCTTTTTTAAAAAATAATTTCCATATTTTTAGCACACCGTGTATATTCGGGTAATCAAGTTGTTAAAAAATAAACTAAAAAGCCTTCAGAGAATAAAATTCTAAAGTGGGGGTGACGATAAAATCGCATGTCCAAAGAATTTTAAAATTTCGCTTATTAGATTTGGAAGAAAAAAAAAATGAATTTTATGAAGTTCACCCGAATTTATCAGTATTAGATATCTGAGCTTTTCTTATTATTAGAAACAACTTAAACAAGTCCTTAAAATGAGGTCGCTTTACTCTTGAGGTAATTTTGGTTTTTCCAATTTTGTGAACGCCCAGAATAAATTTTTAGTATTCTGAAACTGGTTTTCGAAGTTTCAGGACAAGCAAAAATTTTTATAAAGAATGACTTTTTGTCGAAAAATAAAAAATAATTTTTTTTTGCAAAAGTAGTTAAGACAACCCGGGGACACACTGTACATATGTACATTGAGAGTGCATAGTAAAAACTGAGAAGTTAAAGCTTCATAAAACACATAACATAATGTAAAAAGCATATTTTTGTCCCAGGAACATCAATTCGTCACCGTGGTCAAGAATTGGACATTTCGAAAAGACCTCTACAGCATATTCTCACGAAAGATTTGCATCTTCATACATACAAAGTTCAATTGATACAAGAATTAAAGCCCACTGACCACGCAGAGCGAAGAAAGTTCGTTGAATGGATTATGGAATAAGTGAATGCTGATTTTTCGAACAAAATTAATCTTCAGCGATGAAACTCATTGTCGCGTTTGGGGTTCAGAAAAATCTACAAATGATTGTTGACAAACAAATGCATCCACAACAT